CACAGCAAAAACCAGATCTTGCAGCCAACTTTCATCTGTGTTTTGATCTTTCATCTCCAAAAACAATTATTTCTTGTCTCAACAAACAGAATCTTTTCAGCACTTTGTGACATGACAACCAGCGGACTTCTATGTAGAATGGAACATCGGTGAACTGATTATCTATGTCTTCCAACAACTGACTGAACTGACAGTGGTTGAAAGCACAGCCTCTGATATAGTTCACTGTCTTTGTGACCAAGATGATCCAATTTTAAAATCTTTAAATACAAATTTTGCTGATGACTAATACATGTACAAATGATGAATCTGGATACAAGTTTTCTAGTTTTCTTTGTAACTTGGCAGCAACACCATTATATTTGCCAGCCATATTTGCAACACTGTCAATAGATAAGCATGCAAATTTATTCAAATCAAAATTATACTCATGCAGAACTTGCTCAACTCTCCCAAAAATACCCTGGCTTCTTTTAGTGTCATACATGGGGACCCAGTTCAATCAATTCTTCATAAAATATTAAATTCACTGTCACAGGCCCTGATGAAGATTGCAAGCTGTGTTATTCCAGTGATGTCTACAGTCTCATCAATAACAGCAGAAAAATGTTTAAACTTTGATGATACAGCTTTCAATTGTTATTTTAAATCGCCCAACATTTCATCAATCCATTTATTGTCTTTTGGTATGGTGATGGAGTTATTACAAATTAAACAATGTATATTTTCATTCACTGTTGTGCAAAAATGCTGTAATTCCCACTTTTCTCATTCAATTTCCTTTTTCTCTTAGCTGGAGGAGCATTAGCCATTAGGGTTGAAGTGTAGTAGTAGTAGTAGGAAAAAAACTAAAATTTCAAAATTGATGACACAGCATCTGAAAAATTACTGGTACATTTAAACTACAGCTAACAGTAAAAAGAGATGAAGCAATTTTAATAACACCTCTAAAACCTTTCTTTGGCTGATATTTCACCTTTAAAAGCAAAAACTTTTGAAATTTTAGAAGAAAGTTTTCTGTTTACAACTGTTAAATGAGACCCTAAATTGTTTTCATGGTGTAATGGCTGGTGTCATGTCTACTAGAGAGAATTTGTTCCCGCGCTATTTTCTCAGCCAACAAGAACATTGAATATTTGCTACAATTTTTAAAATAATAGTCTTAGTACCGTACTACTAACACAAAGTTTGTCGATATTAAAATTACTTTAAAATAAATTTATGCAGTAAATGTAGGTACCTCCACGAGATCACTAAAAAAAGAGCATAGCATGATGAAAAAGACGCCAAACATCACGAAAACAAAATTTTATCATCTAAATGTTTGTTATTATTACGAAGAGAGATCAAAGTATTTTTGGGGTTTTTTTTTACATTTTTTAATCATTCCTAGTATGTCTGAAATTTTCGTTAAAAATCTTGTTTTTTTTTGAGTCAGCAAAATTGACCATTTTTTTCTATTTTATAAAAAAACTGGAAATCTCACTTTGAAATTCTTTTAAATATCAATTATCATTTTTTCAAAACTTATTTTAAGAAAATCAGAAATTATAATGTTTATTTAAAATATTTTGAACCAAGCTTAACTTAGCTTCTGTACAGAAAAGATGTAATTTGAAAATAAAACAAAGCAGGTCATAAACTTTTACATCACTTGACAGGTGATGAATGACATATTGGTGGATTCCGTGAGGATAATTTGTTCTACGGAAGGAGAAAAGTGAAATAATTTACATTTAAGTGAACAAATTATTTACCTCATTATTTTTAAGGAAAATTTTCAGCGCTCAAATTTTTTTTTTTGTACTTAGCTTTCATCTTTACATTTACGATGGTTTATGGAAAATATATTATAAAGAAATTAAAATAAGACTTAAGAGTGAGATTAATTTTCATATTTCATAAGAAAGGTATCTAATTAATTTATAGGTACCTTTCTTATGAAATTTTATCAGAATTGTACATAAAATACTATAATTTTATGTACATTTATTACATTTTACTGTGTTATTTGTATTTCCATTCATTTTATTATTAATTTTTATATTTCATTTATGGAAAAATGTCATAACTGAGATTAATATAAAAATAAGATCATATAAATTTCATAAGATGATACTGATACTTGTAGGTACCCTTCTCAGTTGAAACTGAAAAATTGAATTAACTTCTCTACACGTGTTTCGCAAAAGTAAAGGCCTTAACAGCGGAGAACAATGCTTAACTCAAATAACGCAACTTAATTGTATTCTGGTTGGTCTTCCGTACGTTATAATTACAGCCTGATTATAAACTCAAAATTACATTTCTTAATTACTGCGGATCTTCTGATTAGTCAAAATGATACAATTTACAACGTGCTAAAAAAGATCTATCTCATAAGGAGACTTAGGAAACCTGATGCGGCTTTTAACTAATTTTATATTTTAAAAAATTAAATGTAAAAATCTATTATAATTAAGAAATAACAAATAATTGTATTAAAAATTCATTTTTCATCGAAAAAATTTTTTGCTTTCAGAAAATATTGTCCATATTCATAAAAACAACTAAAAGTAAATAAAAGCATTTGAAATTAAATAATATCTTTGTTTTATTGAGTTTTGTATGTTACAATTGAGAGCTGATTTTCAGGTGGGGGGGGCAATTAAAAACAAAAAAAAACATGATTTGCATTCCTCAAAGCCTTGTGCTTTTAAACTATTGTAATCATTAAACTAGACTCGATTGAATTTCTAGCGTTTTCATAAAATTATTATGGGGGGAAGGGGTAATAAATATAAAAAAAATATTTCTGCCATGACTTTAATAAAAAAAAAAACAACATATTTATAATAATTTCGATCATCTGTGAATAGTCCCTGAAAGTTTCATTAACATCCGACAATTATTCATATTTTTGCAAGATTTTCCAGATTAAATGTGTCATACCAAAAAAACGTGCTAAAAAAAAAAACTGTCTGTTATTTACTAGTTCCACGAGAAACAAAGTTTTTTTAATCAAAATTTAGAATGTTCTAAAAAAGGAGGAAAATTTTTTAAAAATAATTAAAAAAAACAAACTTTGGCCTTTCCTAATAACAAGCATTTGTAGACGATAAAATTTTGTTTTCGGCAAGTTTGGCGTCTTTTTCATCAAGCTATGCTCTTTTCTTAGCGATTTCGCGGAGGAACCTAACGTCTGTTTTCCCAGTTGTTAAAATTAAAATAATTTATTTACAAAACATAAACAAGAAAAACAAGCGTTTATTTATTTTACTACTTCATCTTTACAATAATTAACAAAAAAAAAAAAAAAGTGAAAAAAACTTTCGTAAATTAACTATTAAAATTTTTAATAGTTAATTTCTGAAAGTGAAATGTTTTAATTTAAAAATAAAACATTTCACTTTCAGAGACAATGAATAACCCTACTTTCGGTTTGTTGTAAAATCTTTCCTCAGCCTGGACATAAATTCCAGCGCATACAATCCTCTTGGGACCACTTTTTATAAATTGTTTTAAAATTAAAATAAATTTTATTGAATAAATATTCACTTGTCCGCTTCTGATGGACGATGATATTGAAGCTGAAGCGATTGATAGTCGTGATGTTTCTGATCGTGGGGTGTCATAAACAGAAAGTGAAGATCAAATTTTTAACAACTTACGAATAAAGAAAAAAAACTGTCAGCTGATATTTAAAAAGTAGTTAAAGAAATGTTTATCTCAAAACAAAATATGATGAAATTTTATTAATTTTTCGATTAATACAATTATCGAAAAATGTTGATCAATCTCGCTTTGATTTTCACGTTTATAAAGAGGAAATTTAACAGAAAATCGTCACGAGTATTTAGTTTTTACCTGGCAAAAAGAAAGAACTGTCAATCTAAATGCTGAAATGACAACTTTTCATTTTAATTAATTCATGAGTCAAATAGATTTTTAAAAAGGTAGAGTAAAGAAAGGCATTTATACTTTTTCTGTCTCTTGTCTTCATAATAAAAATAAAAAGTAACAAAAACTGGAAAATCAATTCCATTTCTATTAATACTCACAAAATGAATTGAGAAAATATATTCTAACAGATTGCACCCAGTTCGTTGAACACTTGTCATATATCAGAAATAAATAATTAAATCAGCGCAATTTCAAGTTTATTGCATAAAAGTCTCATGTAGCTGCCATGTTGTTTATTGCCATTGTATTAGACTCGAGGAAAACAAATAAGGGTCAGTGTGCCACACAAGTGTATGAAATGGTTTCTTCGAGAGAAAATTAATTTGTAATAACACATCATCAATTATTAGAAAGAAATAGAGAAAAAATCATTTGTTTTATTTTTATTTTTGTTCAATGGTTTTTAATTGTAAATAAATAGTTTTTCCGTTTTGTTAACCACTAATTTTCATTTTTGATTAATGATTGGCCTGGCTTGTCAAACAAAACAAAGAAAAATTGATTTTTAAAAAAGAAACTAGAAGAGAAATTCAAAACTATCAAAAAACAAGCTAAATAATGACCGCAGCTAGAAATACAAACATACCAAATATAGTACAATACGAAATTAAAAACCAAGAACCCCGGACTCTCCAGGTTATGTCCCAAGCACATTAACTAGCTCTTTCAACTTTTGATTTTCTAAAATTTGGTAGATTTCAAATGAAACTAATCTAAAAGAAAACACATAATTGTATTTTATTCTCCCTTGGTCAAATGAATTTTATTTTTATTTTTTTATCCTTGATTTGAAAATATTCATTCATAAATTGGCCCCACCGTTTATTTCCCTCTTTTCAGATATTTTTCTCTCAATTTACATAAGGCTGTTTGCTATAAAATTGTTCAAAAAATTTAGAAAGTAATAATGGTTGTATAAAAATATGTATCTGCTTTTATCTAGATTAAAGAGAAATAATCAAAGAGAACTGAAGCTGTCTGAAACATTTGAGACCTGCTGTGAAATACTGGTCATTAGACTTCTTGTTATTAAGCGGTTTTTTATTTCATTAGCCAACATGGCAGCAATCGCTTATGACTCGGAAAGTGTGGCTGAATTAGAACTTCAAGAACTTGAGGTTTCTTTTTTTTTTATTTTTATTTGTTCGGAAATCATGCTATTGAAAAAATTCCCCGGCATTTTTTGCGGCTCTAAACGAGCACAATGTTTGCTTATTGATTTGTAATTTACTCATATTGCTAAGTAAAAAAGGCATGATGACATTTTTTGGGACCTTTAAAAAAAACAGTAATTAAATTAGTCTTCTCTGTAAAAAATGTTTTTGCTTTTTTTTTTATTCACAACATTTCAGTCTTGGTCCCCCCCCCAAAAAAAAAATTCATCCTTAGTACTAAGAATTATTCTGTTAGTGAAGTTAGTTATTCAAAAAAAGAAAAATGAATTTTCATTTTCTGAAAATTCATTTCAAACTGTCTTGCCGAAATCAGAAAAGTTACTTTTTGTTGTTATTTTTTTTTTAATTAGATTCATTCATTCATTCATTTATTTATTGTATAATTCAGTAAAAGTATTTGTTTTCATGTATCACATCGTGAAAGGATGAATAATGTGTCCATTTTCTTTCATGTAGGTCTTAAAAAATAGCTAAAAATTTAATTTAATTCATTCCTAAAAAAAAATAAAGGGGCAATCAAAGTAATATCTCAATAATTGCATGACCATTTGGTTATTAATGAAATTAATTTCATTTCATACCTGCAACGAATTTGGATAAAATTGCAGAAAACAGACACATTAAAATTCATAATTAGGCAAATTTTACTGTGTGTCCTATCCTGGAACAGTTAAATAAAATTTTAAATAAATGGTGTGATTACAAAGAAATCAGTCCAAGTTGCATAAGAAGAGTTCGTCATTAATTAAAACACTTACTTTTTTTATACTAATGTTCACCCAATACAATACCCAAGAGCTACTCAAGGTAGAAAGTGACTGTAGGGTTCTATGAGCATAAAAGAAGGCAAGAAATGCAGTTCATGAAGTTATGTAGGAATAATAATGGTTAACTCTAGACATGAAGAGATCAAGATTCTTGGGAAGAAGCTGTCCAAGTGGAACTTCTTACTAATGGAAAGGAGGATGGTGCATATATGTGTATGTGGTATGGTGGGTCTGCTGCAAAGTTCAGGACTGGTGGAACTAAGAAATGTAACTTATCTGAATACTTGTCATGAAAATAGCAATGTTTCATCTGTGAGAAAAGGGGTTGTAGGGAGGTGGGGAAAATAATCACCTACAAGGCCGCATAGATGCTTTTGAACTCTATGAAGACAGGCAAATGAGAACTGGACAGTTTCAGCCCAGACATGGCAACAATATTCCACTTTTGATCTGGTCTGACTCTTGTAAACATAGAAGAATCAGGAGATAACTGATAATTGACATCCATTAGACATGGCACGTCGAACTAGAACAGTCTACCCCAGTGAGTGAAATAAAGGGTTCAGTTCGACATTCCAACCACCTAAAGAAGGCTGAAGCATACAATGGCCGAAACATTGTAATAAATATGGCAACAAAGATGGGGATAATAGTCCGAATAATGTAAATTAAATAGTGTACATAATACCTCATCTCAGAAATATAGACAGACACTGATGGTATCCCATTTCAAAAAAAATCTTTTGCAATTCAAATTTAATTGCATCACTAAACTCATGGAAACTTAATTTAAATCTGTTTATACTTAAGATTAGCCATTATCTTATTGAAATAGGTTTCTTTATGGTTCTTATTTTGTTTTTTACTTTTTCTCTGGTAGTTTAAGCCTGGTTTCTTTTTTTTTGTTCTTTTCAAGGATTCAATGATTCTTCCCACGCTCTCTCTATACATTACATACATACATACATACATACATATATATATATATCAGGCCTGAAGACTGTGTTCAAACATGAAATAGTGTGTTGTCACTTGGTGTTGACCTCAGTGTCCACTTCTATATTTACATATGCTCTATCTCTGATATTGAGCACTTTTTCCCATAAATGTAGTATACCTTAAAACTGTTATCAGTATTATATATATATATATATATATATATATATATAACAGTTATTGTTCAGAGTTGAATTAGACTAAGAAACAGTGCTCAATATATGTATAAAGAAAATAAATAAAAATTTAACATGCAGAGCTTTTAAATTTAAAAAATTAGATCAGCCAATGTAGTATGATTAGTTGATCTAATTTTTTAAATTTATTTATTTTTATATATATATATATATATAATTTTCTTTCAGTTGTTATTTTTTAATTTTTTTTTGTCCAAATTTATTACTGCTTTTCCTTCTTTGCATCCACTTTTCCTATCTTTTCATCTCCCTTACTTTTTCCATTTCTTTTGTAATTAATATGTAGGTCAGATCAAATAACTGATTCCTGCACAGAAGGGTTGGATGTCAGGCAGATTCTACATTCTGACCCTAAGTAGAAAATTTATAATGGTCTTACATACAAGCAAGTCATATAATAACAATAATATTGATACTGGAATTGAGAAATGAGATTATTGATCTACTTTTTAATTTCAGATTTTGCTGATTTAGGTTTTTAAGGCCAGGACTTTTTTTTTTTACTTTGGCAGTCATGAGCAATTCAATTCAACTAATGAGAAGGATGGCTCACAACTACACTTTTATTAGCACTTATGGCTTTATTCTTATTTTGGCCAAAATATTACAGGATATTTTCAATGATTCTCCTGAATTTTATAAGGTTCATTGGGGGTCAGTCGTCATTAACATATGAAGCTTATTTTTTTAATGCAGCTAGATTCCTGTTATTTCATTACTAGGAAACTGATTTTTAGGCAGAACATATGTATTTAAAAATTCTGAAACAATTTTCAAAGAATTTGAATGCTTCTTGAGTATAAGAGACAATTTTAGTTTTTTTTTTCTTCTTGTGTTCATATGGTACAGAATGATAAATTCAAGAAAAGTTTTTGGAATTATAAACACAAGAATTTTTCAAACTATTGAATTCATTCTTTGTTTTTTTTGTTTTTTTTGTTGTTATGACAGTATTTCAGTCAATCTATTTTACAACCTTCTGCAGGTATACACTCCCTAAGGAAAGACAATTTAAAAAAAAATTATATCAAACTGAAAGAACATAAGAAATCCATGTCTAAACAGGAAGTAGAAAATTTTGGTATAGCAGATACTATATCTATCTATATCTGGAGGGAGAAGGATTCACATTTCCAACCTGGGGATGAGGTCTAAATAATAACTGATGAGGTATATCACAGGTGAAGTGTGAGAAATTTGAAGAAAGCATCAGATATTAAGACTTAATAGAGAGGTGTGTAATTACATCCAGCGCCAATTTCAGTTGGGAGTAAAGAAATTTGCATGTTGCTGGGAATTAACCAAACCAATTTATAGATTTACCATTTTATCTCTTTTCCTTACCAGTACATTGCATCTCATTAGCTACTTTAAAATTTTCATAGTTTCTAGAAATCTAATAAAGGGATGCATAGAAATACTTATGTTATTAACAGCCATGATATTTTATATGTAATGTATAATGTGTATGCATGTATGTATGTATGTGTGTGTGTGTGTGTGTGTGTATATATATATATATATATATATATATATATATATATATATGCACACACATGTTAAGGGATTAAATAGGAATTTGTATTTACTCAGAGAATATAATTTCCGCAGGAAGCCCTCTAACCAAAAACAGCAACATTCCTCAGAAGAGTAAGTCCCATTACATGTTTATTCCTTGTCTAGATGTATCCAAAAATTCTGATTTTAAAATCTTTCTCTTTGTACTTTAAATTAGTCAAAAGGCTAATATATAATTAATATCATCAATCTTATTGCCAATATTGTTATCCTTTTGTTGGCCTTTTATTTCTCAAATTTTATTAACCAGCCTATTAAATTATATATATATATATATATATATATATATATATAAGAAAGCACTAGAAGCCCCAAACAGGGTGAAACAACTCATTCAGTACCTTAAATCTCTGGTACAAAGAAAAAAAAAACAACAAAACGAAGAGTGCTCAATACACTAAGTAGAGCAAAAGTAAAAAAAATGTGAAACCTAGCTAGGTAGTACCTGACTCATTAGGATTTATTTATTTTATTTATATATATATATATAGAGAGAGAGAGAGCACGCAACATCTCACTCTCCCATTGTTTTGTCAACAGTTTCAGTTTTATGAATTTTAACAGATTTTCCAAGTTCCACATTATTATTAGCCAGGTCACTGAAACTGCAAGAAATATGGTTGTTTTTAAAAATTATAATTACAGAACATGTTTACAAAGAGAAATGTTTTAAACAAAACCAGTGTCATTATAATGAGAATGAAGTTATAAAAACAAACTTAACATGAAATGTATACTCTATATTCTGAAACTAGTTTTAGAAGTCATTCACCTACTGAGTTTGTAAGCCGTTGTATTTCTTCATATGAAACACTGCCAGGTATATAGAATGGCCTTCTAGAGTTCATCTTTGCTGATAAATTACCATCTCCCAATCTAAACCTTCCTCTTCAGAATGTCCCATAAGTTTTCAGTCAGGTTATGGTCAGTCAAACCAGACTTTTCATAAGACAACTGTTCTTCAAATCCATTTTATTCAGATTTTCATTAGATTTTTCACTGAATGTGACGTGTAGCATTTTCAGATATAAAACAAAACTTTCCATGTGTATTTAGTGTCTTGAACTGTGGATCTACATGTGCCTTCAAAAATATATCTTAACATCATCTGGATCTTTTTATGATTTATTAACAAAACAATTTATTATATTTTGTAATAAAAAAGATAATTAAAATTCTTAAAATAACTTATATTTATTTATTTTTCAGTTTATTATAATTTAACATTTAATGAGATATCTGAGCTTGACATTATTTTAGAATATCTTTACAAGGTTGAATTTTAGACAGGCATACTCTTAAATCTTCTTCCAAGAATTCTAGCCATAATCAATTTTTGTTTTTAATATTGTCTATTCCAGAAAAGCTTAATTTTTATATTATTTCATATATTATGCATACATTAATTTATTATAAAAATTATATATTTGTATAATCAATATAAAGAGGTTTTAATTTTGATACATATTGTGCTTTGGATTTCTTTCAAAAATAATTAATGACATTTAAAAATTTTCATGGTAAACCTACAACCTCACAGCCCACCAATGCACATCAATTGAAAATCACTGATCTAAATTAACTTTCTGAAACTGTAATAAGAAAAGAATCTTCAAAAATAAAATATCCATTAAATTAGTTTATCACTTCTCAGTTTGAGGAGGTTTATCCCAATGTTCCACTAGAGATTTAAGTTGTCAACATTTGTTTTTTTTTTTTGTTTTGTTTTTTTTGTGTGTGTGTGTGTGTCAGCCCTGAGGTCTAAGGGATATTGGATCATGGAAACACTGTTAATAAAAAGTAAATATTGTTGTCTTGAGGCTTGGAAATTATGGTAAACCTATCATTAAAGGGATATTGGGCTAAAAACGTTGCTAACTTAATGATTGCATAACTTAATTATAAAAACAGAATACCCCTATAAAAGATTTAGCCTATCAATGCAGATCAAAATTTATAAAAATGGTGCTCAGTATAAAGATATTGACTAGATTCATGTCACATCAAAAATCTGATCGTGAAATTACTGGATATTTGCAATATTCTAAGAATATAAAAGTATTTTTAATACCCAACCAAATAAGATGGTTAATACATGGATGTTTTTCTTAGATTTTATTACAGGGGAATTTTTTTTAATTTCTAAAATTAGTAACTGATGAAATAATTACAAAAAGATTTATTGAAATCTGATATTTGTTTATTTTTTTACTGAAACAACTGCAACACCTTTTTTAAACAGTAATATTTCTTGCTATATTGTATGCAAATTTTGTCTTCAAAATTTTTCTCCAATTTTTTTTCCTGCTTCATCAAAAATTCTTTATAAAAAAACAAAATGTGAATCTTTTGTTTGTCTTGTAAATATCATCTTGTATCACTTTCCATTGTAATATAATTTTTTAAACTATTCTAAAAAATATTTATTATTTAATAAAAAAATCTTTAAGTTTGCTTTTCAACAACTCTTTGACGTTCTTTTGCACACACCCATCTCGTTGTTGAACTCAGAATATTCTTCTTGCAGTCTCCAGGTGGAATTGCTGCACCAAATGTCTACATTAATTTGATGGCCATGTACTTGCTTCGGAATGACCTGTAAGTAATCAAAACAGATACTTTTACTTTTGAGGTTTATGCAGAAGAAATTAAACTTTGACTTGTCATGAGTAATCTTCCTTTGAAAGCATTCATTAATGGATTTTATCAATAATTACATAATCTAATGATACAAAACATTTATTTTACACAACAAATATTTATTTTCCTTCTTTGTTAATGTATTTAATTCTGTGGGATTATTGTTAATAGAGATCAAACATAAAACTTTCAGATCAAAATTCCTTTATTATGTATCAGGTTATCAACATATTGATTCACTGTTCTAAATGTCACAAACCCCATGAGTGAAACCTTAATTTGTGTGTGTGTGTGTGTGTATATGTATATATATATATATATATATATATATATGTTTGACTCACTGAAAATAACCAAAATAAAGTCTTGTGTATAGAATTTTCATTTTTAAAATAGTTAACAATGGGCGTGTAATTTGGATGTGGGTGTAAAATATCGTGTTAATTTCTGTCTGAAATTTTGAGATGAGGAATTGTTATGCAATGATTTATTCAAACTCTTGCTTACATCTTAACAAGTTAATGTTAGCAAAAATTTCCACCATTCACAGGTTGAACTATATAATTGCCATGACAGAAATTCCTGTCTTAATTTTAGTGGATTAACAACCAAAATGAGGACAACAGCTCAAATAAATCCAATTGTTATTTATGAAATATTTTCTAACAGATTTTCTCTTTTGAATTCAATTTACTATTAACAAATACTTATTTCGCTTTGTGAAAATTTTTTGCATGTATATATATATAAATATATATATAATTATAATATTTTTATTATAATAAAAACATTTTACAATGCTACACAAAAGTTTTCATGTTTCAATACTATGATTGTACTTCCTCAGACGATGGTAAATACATTGTGATAAAAATGATTTTTAACACTCATAGTATTGAAACATGAAAGCTTTTGTGTAGTGATATAAAAAATTTTTTATTATAATCTATTATAATAAAAATATTATATTAATATTTTGCTCTACTTTGTATTGATCACTTTTTTTAAAAAAAAGTAAATGCTGCAAACCTTGGATTTTTACTCCATCTGTTCTTTCTCTTATTTGGATATATATATATATATATATATATGAGAGAGAGAGATGGTTATTCTATATTTAGGGAAATTTTTTTCTGTTACATTTCTCTTTTTCATTAATACCACTACTATTTTTATAATCTATTATTATTATTATTATCCTACAGTCACAGATAATAATTCCTTTAATTGCATGTTCCCATTTTTATCATCATTGTTATTATTATACTAGTTATTAGTATTATCTCTTCTTGTATATTCTCTCTTATTAAGATACTAATAACATAAAGTGAAAAAGAGTTTTCATTTAAGTACTATCCTATTTAATATTTGGCATTGTCTGACCAGAGTGAGAGACATATCTGTAAGGGAACCAAAAGGATTGCTAATTCATTAATGTCTGCTGCATCTGAAATGTATCCCAGTTTATAAAACACTGTTCAATATTAAACGCTGACAAAGGCTACTGGAGTAGCTGAAAATGTTATTATTTCAGAAATGCTTTATTGTTCTCCTATATGTCAACTAAATAAAAGACAAAAAATATTTTGTCATCACTTATATATATATATATATATATATATATATATATATATTATTTATTTAAAAATATGATTCCATCGCTACATAAGAGTTTTCCTATTTTCTATATATTTTTACACACACACACACCAGAAAATTACCAGATTGATTCATATTCATTTTATTCCGAAAAAAAAATCACGACCCTGATGAAGACATTGTTCTAATGTCAAAAGTACTTGGAATAAATGAATATTCATCAACATGGTAATTTTCTTTCTTGCTTTAATAAGGATACTAAGAATCTTGTCTGTAATTATGAGAGGATCTTATTAAAAATAAGTAGACAAAACTTGTCTAAATTATTTAATGAGACATGTCATTCATATATATATATATATATACACGAGTGGTCTATTTTTAATTTTTAAAGATGTTTTAATACACATAAAAAATAATATTTGTGTATTATTTACCCATTTACAGCACTGTTTGATATGTAGCAATTTTTCAAAATGTGCTGCTGTTTTTTAATAGAAATTATTGTTCAAATATGAAAGGTATAAGCATACACCATATCATCAATATATATGAGACAACTAAAATGAGAACAGTATATAATAAAAAAGATAAAGTGAAACAAAATTGCAGTCTATGCATAGAGAAGCAACTGAAAATTATAGAATTTAAAAATATGAATGAGCTAATAAATAAAATGAGTGAAATTATTTTGAGTTGAGCACACTGTGACTCATTCCTTTTAAAAAACATGAAAAGAACAATAGATCTTGGGAATGCTATTAAAAACACTCTTTTTAAAAATTACTAAATGTAAAACACTTGTATATAATACAAAAATGTTCTTTTATCTCTCTCTCTCTCTCTCTCTATATATATATATATATATAAAATATGATTTTTGCCAGAGAGTATATTTTCTTTATTAAGATTCTCAAATGTACAAGATGATAAACTTAATACACATCATTTAAAATAAAAATGGGGCATCTATTTCAAATATGAGTATCCACTATAATAACATTTGAAGTAATAAAATATATGAAATTGAATCCTGATAAAATATTTTCTGGTGTGGTTGAATAAAAAGTTCCACATATTCAAGGTTAGACAATTTCTATATGTGAAATACCTCACATGTTTAGCCTTTTTTTAATTTCAAATAAACTCTGACTTCCTACTTTTTTGAAAAATGATTAAAGTTGTTCAAAATTTTAGACTCTGAATATGGGATTAAATATTATGAAGTTAAAAAGAAAACTTTTTGACATTATATGATTCTATATCAGTATGAAATAAAACCACATTAACAAACAATATTTTGGCATAAGAATTTCGATCTATTTACATGAATTTCAAACAACTTGATAACTTTGTTTCTCTTTTGTAGATGTAATGCTAAATTTTTGTGGAAACGAATACCTTCATCAATTAAATCTGTAAGTACACCTGATTAATTTATTTTATGTCTAAATTAATAATTTAATATTTTTTATTTATACAATAATTAAATTTCTCTTAAATTAGTACAAAAAATTAATTTTTTTTTCCATTTTAAAAAATATAAAAACAAAAAATCAAACTCACTAATTCTCACTTTAACTTTAGAGCTGTTGGTTCATTTTGCAATCTATGTTTGGCTGCTTGGGTAAGTTGACACTAATATCTTTATAAAAGACATGTTTCTCAAAAATTCTACCAAAAAGAAACAACTTTATGCATACACTGAGAGTAAAGTGTCAGTTTAAAAAATATAGCTCCTGTATCACAAAACATGAAAAACTAAGGAGTAACGAACTAATTATAGCCTCAATATCTGTAAGAGGAGAATGAATATCTTTCACTTCTTTGTCAGGGTCTGTAGTCATTCTTAAACATTTCTTCAAATTATTCTTGGCAATTGTGCTTTTTAGAGTCATCCTGAATTGGGCCACATGTGGTCAGTTGGACAGAAGATGTGGCAGAGAGATTTTCCTGGTATTTATGAAGTCTTGAATCGGGAATGGCCAGAAAACCTTAAGCCCACAATGAATGCTTTACATGGTAAGACTTCTCCCCTTTCTTCATTCAATTTAGATTTAACAGCATTAAATACATTAAGCATAAGTTAAATCCCTTGATTCAGTGGGGGTTTGTTTATCTTGAGGGCATTTTATGCTCTTTGAACAAACATCATGATCTTTTTTAACATTTCTTTCATTGTAATGTTATATCAATTTACTGTTGTTTTTTGTCAAGTAGGTATTATAAGTTTTCATTGTATAGTTTTTATTTTCTTTTAAGATGTCAAAATAGGTCAGGATTGAAATGTAGAAGTCGTTGCCTAAATTTATATACTATCTTGTCAATATATTCTTATATAAGTGTTCTTAAAAAAATCACATTTTTTAATGATATATTTGCTTTTAATTTGCAAAAGGTAGGTAATCATCAACACCAACTAAAAAAACAATATCCTTACCATATACCATAATTTCTCAAAAATAATATGCATTTTTTTACTGTAAATTATAGGTGATAGTAGGGGTGCATATTATAGATAGGCTTAAAGAAAAGTATTTTTTCATTATTGATTTATAATAATATGTACTTGTTTTTCTAAAATAAGAAAGATATTATCCCAATTTTCATTTTAAATCCAATAATAATAATTGTAACATTTTTTTGTCAATAAATTTATGTTTATCAGTAAAACTGCATTTTTTATTTGGTGAAAAAATAAAAAATCTATAAAAAGAAAATTTCGAAAAACTTTTGGAACATCCACTTGATTGTCTTTCTTTCACAAATTCAACTAAATTTTGTTCCATATCTGGATATTGAGATTTTCTTCCTCTACCTATAGCTTTGGCACTTGATTTACACTTTTTTAGTTCATTTTTATTCTTTCTCCATAAATGTATGTTAGCCTCATTCAACTCATATTCTCACTGCAGCTGTGTTTCCTATTCTTTCTGCTAATTCTATTACTTTTTGTTTAAAATTTGCACTATAACTCGAATGTCATTTTGATGACATTTTGGTGGTAAAATAAAATGTTATATTTATCAGGAAAACCGTATGGTAATTTTCAACATTATTTTAGCTGCTTAGTTTTGATTTTATTTCTAATGTCAAAGTCAACAAAATGTCTTTGTAATTATTTTTTGATTCTTTTATTATTTTTATTTTTTTTTGACAAAATTTATAGATGCGTATTATACATAGGGATAGATATATTTCTTACTTTTTGGATCATTTGTTTGGGTGTGTATTATCTTTGAGAAATTACAGTATACTTATACCATAAACTGAGAAATAAAATATGTGACAAAAAACTCAATGATAAATTGGCAGTTAGACTTCTATTTGAAGCCAATATTTTGCCAATTTTCACCAACTTCAACATCTATGTAAAAAAAAAAAAGTGCCCAAATATCTGATGAGATTGCTTTGCAATGAATTTTTTTTTTTCAGATTTTAGAAGCATTTTACAGAATATTTTTAGTACTCAGTCTTTATTCATGTTTCCATTTCTCCTATCATGTAAATGGCCAATCCCATAATTCATTTTCATTTATTAAATGTTTGGAATTATTTGTATTTATACAGACGCTCCATTCTCATTAAGTTGTCCTGAGAGTTGAACATAGTGATATAATACTAATTACTGTTGTATTTCATTTGATTTGTATGCTAAATAAAGACCTTTTACATTCAGAAAATGGTGCTATTTTTGTTTGTTAAAAGGAAGTAAACAAAAATTCAAGAAACTTGGTGAAACTTATAGAACCGATGAAATAGTAAAACATCATTGCATAATAGAATTGTGAAATAAAAACTATACTCTAAATGATACTTAAAAACATTTTAAATATAAAAATATTAAAACTTCATAAAATATTCTCCATTCATAGGAATTTACAAAATTCTGACATCTGAACATAATGTGTTGATTAGCTGCCTCAGTTTGTACACACGGCTTGAAGTTTGCCCCTTTCTCAGATGTAAGGAGGGATTATATTTGGATCAGCTTATACATAGATACATACAGTATATCAAATCAGATACAGGATCTTTATAGACATTAGGCAGTTTTATGCAACTACTCCTAAAAGAAGAATAGCAAAAACTGCATATACAACATCCTATTCACTTGTCGCAGATTTTTTTTCATTATTTATTGTAATTTTTATATGATATAAATATTTTTTTCTGTGTTATCGCCATTAATGTTTGATTTTATTATTCTTTTACCTGTAACACATTTTCTATCTTGTACGCTTTCATTTTGGATTTCTATTTTGTTTTGTTCTTGAAGTGACAATAAAGTCTGTTATCCCCTAAAATAGGTTAGATTTCAAAACCTCATTCAGATGATAATCCTTCAGGGATCTTCAAATTAAATTATTTCTTTCCTTTTTTTTTTTTTGCTTCCAAATAAATTATTCTAAAAAATAGATTTGGCATTTAATTATCCATAAATATCCATTACATAGAATTCTAATTTTATTTTATAATCTTCATGAATTTGATTTTCACAAACAAGAGGCGTAAAAACTTACATGCTTCTTAGTTTAAAAGGTAAAAAATCTATAGCATTCTATGATGTAATTCAAAACTTTTACTTCAAACGGAGTTGTTGACATTTATCACTTCACAATAAAAAAAAACAATTTTAGAAAGCAGGCTTCATATGAATTGGCTTTTTAAACAAATCTTTAAATATTTATATAATTTAAAATAGTACATAAATACATTGAAAAGTTCAACTTGCTTTCAATTTTTTTATTTTTTGTTTAACTTGTTTAGAGTCTACACGTCGAAGGGCCATTAACCTTGTATCAAAAGCTTATTCATCTATTAACATGGACACCTTTGCTACTCTTGTCAGTGTGCCACTTGCTGATGTAAATAAAGGTAACTTGTTTTATTAACTTTTTTACTAAGTCATACAATTAAAATAATAATAATAAATGGAACATGAACCTTTTTATATTTTAAAATATTATTTAACTCCTTTTCATGTTATTTCTTTTGCTTTATTTTATTACACTTCTTGTTTTAGATGTGATATTATTTAAATTTCTTACATTGTCTAGCATTGTCAGTTTTAGTATTTCTTTTATATTATTTCTCTTGCCTTTTATTGCAACTCTTGGATTATTTGCATTATTTAAACCTAGACTTTTATTGTTATCATAATGTTTTGGCCATTGGACCTCCTAGCCTTCATCAGGCAATTGTGGATCTAAGTAGCACTCCAGTGTTTTGATCAATACTAAATAATAACAGGATATGATATCCATAGACATGGACAGTGTGAAGAAGAAAAATTACCCCCAGAGATTAAATAAAGGGTTCAGTTCAAAATTCCTTGATTCTTACTCAGATCAACAAGCTCCTTATGAAGGCTGGACGGTACAACAGCTGAAATATTGTAATAATAACAACAAATATAGGGATAATAGTCTAAGTGTAAATGATGATAACTGCTCATCTCAGAAATAAAGATTGTCATTCTTTAACCAATAAGCCATGTGATTCAGAAATAAAGCTATACGGCTGCTTTTGAATGAGTGTGTGTCTGTAATCTATGGAATAATAATCTGGGAGTTGTGATAAAATAAAAGAAATACTAGTCAAAAAATTAATAATAAACTTTTAAGTTGTCTGCAATGTCAATCTATTAATGATATTTTTGAAAAATTTAAAAAAAAAAACTTTACATATTTTGGTAAAGTGACTTTGGAGACCCAGTTTCATATCAATGGCAAAAGACTTTGCTGATAGATTTCAAGATCTGCAGCATAAATTCATTAACAATATAAAAGAAAATTTGATACAAATACAAGGTATGACAATTTACTTCCTGGAATGAACCCATGAATCCAAGATTTGCTTACCTGGTCATATTGGCTGCTGTCACCTTCAAAGTATTCCACTTATGAAGCAATGCACTATGTGAGACAATGGTACCATTACTGGAAACTTTCTTGTAATTCATTATCAAGTATACCTTTCAATAATGTAGTTATGTGTTGCTGGAATGTCAACAAATCTTATCCTTTCAGAGTATTTTTCATTTTTGGAAATAGTCAAAAACCACAGGGGTTGAAGTTTGTTGAATAAAAAAAACAACCCATTTTTGTAATGAATTTGCTAGCATTATTTTTCTCATTACAAAATCCTCTGTTTGAATCTGCCACACTGTTTCCTTAGCTATATTCAGTTCTTCTGCTATCAGTCGCACACTTAATCTTTGATCTGAGCACACCAAGGTTCACACTCTGTCCACATTTGCATCTATTCTTTGTGTTTTTGGCCACCCGCTTCTTATGTTATCATGCACATCTTCTCACCCTTCTTTGAACTGCCTGTGTCCCTCAAAACCACCCAATTTCTTAACAGTATATTCACCATAAGCTATTTTTAATAGGGTTAATGTTTCCCTATCACTTTTAACAACCTTCACACAAGACTTGATGTTAATCTGCTGCTCCAAATTCCTTTCACTCATTTCTGCCAACAGTATAACATGAATACATACAACTTCCTCTACTGCTGGGCAACAAATGACTCATCTGGTCTGCGTATCAAGAAATCAGAAGTTGGAACATTTCCAGCCATGCTCAGGTACAAATGTTTCCCTGACTCTGACCTCAGCAACACACTGCACTCATTCCAGGAATTGTCACTCTTTGTACAGTCATTTGGTGAATTTTGATCTGAAATTTTCACTGTATATATTCAATCTGTGTGATTAGTATCTGCCATTGAATAAAGTGCATTGGTACAGAAAGTCATGTTGAAAACATAATATTTATTGTTTAAAATAAATGCCTTTTTTTCTTTTCTTTTTTTTCATCATTTAAGTTACAGGCTTATTGATGTACCTATCACAACCTCACAATGAATACAAGTAAATGATTCATATTCTCAATAAACGTTCTATTTCATGGCATGTACAATATATATGTAACAGATATATGTTAAATCAAGAAAGAGAATTTAATTGTTTCAGTATCCGAAAATATTCTCTTAAGTACAACTTAGTTGAAATTATACCTTGTAAGTGCTGTCAGTGAGTCTGTCAAGGTCCTGTGTTTTATGTTGTTCTTTTTTTGTTTTAAGTTGCTAAGGCTGAAGGATGGACTACTGATGATGATACAAAAATGGTAACCCCTAAAAAGCCAGGTAAGTTGTTTTTTTTTTTTTTTACAACAAGTTGGATATTATTATTGTTTGGGTCATTACAGGTAACATATAGTGAATCCTAATTATATTTATTAATTAAGGTATCTTTCTGAAGATTGATGTTTTCCTATAAAATTAGAGTGATATCTACTTACAAAATATAATTTTTATTTTTTTTATACTATTGCCTGTGTATATAAAGATCATTAATATGCAACAAGTTGGGGTTTGGGAAGGCTTTAATATCAACACTAATGCAAAGCAACCATTTTGCTGATTACAAATGCTGATAATTTAGTAGACTGCTTTATATTTCTGAAATATTTTCAATATTGAACAATTTTGTGGCCTGTATAACCCTATATATTTAATAAGATATTTGTATGTAATATACAAGTCATTCCATCTCAAATCAACCAATGGCCACAGGTGGCCCTCTCAGAATAATATAGGAAAATTCACAGGTGTTCTTTGATCAAATTTATTGATAAATCCCAAATATTAAATCTCTCTTTTTAATAGTTTCAAAATCAGAGTATCTTGAAATTTCACTAATTTTGCTAAAGAAGGCTGTTAAGGAAATTCTGACATTCATAGCTTTAAGGATATTGCATGTACAGATTTTAAACTTTAAATTATTAGACAATAGTCAATATTTACTATAAATTATAAAAATATAAACAGCTTAGGTGTGTCTTTTGTACTTTTTTTTTATAAGGATCTGAAAATGGCCAAAATACAAAAAGTAAACTTCTCCTTTATAAAGTATGTCAAATACTGCATCCAAATTAGTTTTCCTGTCATTTATCACTTAATAGAATATTTCTATGCAATAAGCATATTTATTCCTGTTATAGGAAATGTCAGTATTACAATTTGTAATTGCTTAGTTTTTTTAACATCCTTAAAATTTCATGAAATCAACAAGCCATTTAGGCATTTTAAGAAAATTTTTATATTTTTACTACATATTTTACATGTCTGAAGATTATGTGACAGAAAAAAAATCATGGTTTTGTCAAATTTGACACCTTATAATTTTGATACTTAAGAAAATATGAAGCTGAAAGTTAATACACCTATAATTTTCTTTGCAAATAAACTATTTCTTGTTTTATTTTATCTTTGTTTCACATAGTTTAGATGCTATGGATCCTTAAAAATGTTTTTTTTGGATGATCTACAAAATTTTTAATTGAACAAAAAACTAAATCAAGGACCTTTAAAATAAAGATTCCATCAGCTTATTTTAATTCTAAATACATCAAGTCAAAATATTGGAAATGTGTCACAATTTGTTAAGCAATTTTATCAATACTTAAAAATATACACAAATCAGGATCATTAGTAAGACAAAAATCACATTATGGATATTTGTAAAGGAAGTGACATAACATAAATATTTAGGTTTAGTGATAATAGTTAATACTTTGAGGGATAAGTCAGTATATAATATGGTTTAATCCACTGTACAATAAAAAGGTAAAAACAAATATTGGGAAAATATTAATTAAATTCCTTCCATTAAAATATACAACAGAAATACATTAAAAAATTTCAGACCTGAAGATTGCAAGATTGAAACAGACTGTCACCACTCAATGTTGACAACAGTGTCCACTTCTATATTTACATTTATTTATATTTTCAAAAGTGGCCATTAATATATATATATATTAATGGCCACTCCTGAAAATATACACTTTTATCTCATTGGAACACCTGTAAATTTTCCTTCCCCCCACATATACACACACACACACACATATATATATATATATATATATATATATATATAGGAGTAGTTTATATTTAAGGAATCAGTAGTCAATAGTCAATTGACTGACTGTATGGCAAAATTGATTTGAGTATTAAAAAATCTACATGTATATATACAATGTGTGGGGATCAACTTTATCAAGAAAACTATGATGCAAGTGACTGGATGAAGAACCTTTTAAATAACATTTTTATCATTTAAAATATATTTACACATAACCTGTGATTTGTTTTTTCTCTCGTTTTCTTTTTCCAGAAGCTCCTCCAGATCCTTGCTTACCAAATGAAGAACACTTGTCTATTCTAACTGATTATGTATCTTATTTAGAAAATTGAAATTAATGATTTTCTGCTATAGATATTGAAAGGTAAGACAATTTCACAATAGAAAATATAAGTTTGCATTACAAATATTAAAGTGTTAGGTTGTGCATTTGATTCAATCTGTGGCTGGGCAGTGAGTACTTGAACTCTGTGGAAACAGAATGAGCAATAAATGGGCAATAATAAAAATAAGAACTAGATAAGATATGCTTAAACATGGGCAGTGGAACAAGAACAGTCTACCTCCATAGATTAAATAAAGGGTTCAGTTTGGAATTCCCTGTAGGCTACCTAGATCAACATACACCTGATAAAGACCGGGATAACAACAAAAAATATGAGGACAATAGTCCATATGTAAAATAGAATAACTAATGATAACCTTTCATCACAGAAATTCAAACAGAAAAAAAATGTGCTTCTATGTTTTAGTTTTCTAAGACAAGGATCTTCTGATGGTTTTTCAGTTAGTTTTTAAAATAACTTGTCTCTACTATATTAATATATACATACAGTAAGTTTCTGGGTTATGACAATCCCAACCTACAATGATTGTGGTTATAACACAGTCTCCATTTATCTTATTTTGACTATAAGTTTGTAAATGCCAGATTTGCTGCTGCTTCTGAGTACTGTAAGAGAGACAAGACCTTACACTTCGTCATTTCATCTACTGAGAACCAATGACATCACTGGCAATAAATATACAAGCAGCTTAAAACAATTTCATATGTATATCCTCCATGTGTTTTTTTTAGTCCTAATTTTGTTAATATTATGTCATAGAAATGTGATGTTATGTCCTAGATTATTACTTTACTATTGTGTTAGCATAGGTGACTGATGTATGTGCTTATTCACAAAAAAACGTGGGTACATTCCAACTTACACAGAAAATCACATTATGACGCATCTTAGGAATAGGACTGTCATGTCATGGACCACCTGTATTATTAATATCTGTATATATTATGTATGTATATATGTATACTCTGAAAAGAAAATGTATATACTCTAAAAAAAAATCTTTCATAACAGAAGAATCTCATTCTTTTATATATTTTCTCTCGTTTTTTTTTTTTATCTAAAGCAATACAACAGATTAGTATTATAATCCCAGCACAAAAATGCTAAAAAAGATATACAATACCCTAACATATTCTTGAAGTTTCTTTTTAAACTTGTGTTTTTAAGAAGGTCTCTATTTAGTACTAAAGACAAGAAGATACATTTTGCTGAAGAAGGGAAAAAAAAAAAACAAGAAAGTCAGGATTGAAGCTCAGAATACAGGAAACATTAGTTTTGTTTCCAATCAAAACTTGTGTAAATTTTTCTCATTTATTTTTAACAAAGCACTGACATTTTATTTGATTTTATTGGTCTTATTCTACAAATAAGAAATTCTCCAAATTCTTTTGTATTTTGTTTTCTTTTTTCATATCAGATCATTAAAATGGTGATATTAAAACAGAAATCAGTTTAAAATTGATTTTTCTCTCTTCCAGACAGTTGACATACCAATTACTGTTGCCATAGCATCAAGGCCTGTTCTTGACAACTGGGAGTTAATTCTCCTTATCCAGATTTGGCAACCAGGGTTTTTTCCACCAATCCCTAACCAAACAGAAATACAGGAGTTGCTAATGTCTTACTTCCTTGTCTCTTGTTTATTCTGCAGGAAATGTTAGTCTACTCCAAATTCAATTGTCTAGACATTTATTGCCTATTGTATATAAATACATCAGTTCTTTTGACTGGATTACAAAAAAGATATATTGAAAGATGTCTTGTGGAATTTCTAGCCTGATCTTTGTTCCTGAGATGTGGAATCTGTCTTTTCTGGTTCTGTCCAATGTGGTCACTACTCTGCTACAATTCCTCTTTGACTTCTCAACATTTTTTCTTATTTCTCAACTTTGAAATAAAATCTTTCAAATTAAATTTGTTCAATTTCCTCTTGCTTTTTTACCCACACCTCTCAGATTTCAAATTAAAAATTAGAATTTTCAACATTATTAATTTTTTTCTCATGCAGTCCAGATATTTCAATATTTTAAGACAAATCTATTAGTATTACTATTACTGTATATACTTATGTATCATGCAACTTTTGAAGATCTAATTTTGAAGCTTATTTTAAGTTGGTTGCATCATACATGAGATATAAAATTAGCATATGTACTGCTGGCAATGGCTACGCCATTGGCCAAACTATATGTCCAAATGTAGTCAAATTAGCTTTAAAATTAGGTCTTCAAAGGTCGTATGATACACAAGTATATACAGTAATTTAAAAAATGTTTTGAAATTGATTTATGCTAAAAATTTATATTTTAATATATCATATCCTATGACCAAATCTCCTTAAAATTGGTATTTAACAGCCACACACAATTCAGCCAATTTTCCAGTGCCACATAAATTAAAAACATTGCATACCAATTGCAATTTTCTAAGATTGGTATCAAGAGGCAGTTCATGACACCAAGAATAGTTGCATTGTCTTAATTATCAAGATTGTAGTCATTCTTATAGCTGCTAAGTGAGCAGGAAGATTCTTTACCACAAATATGTTTGCTTTTTTTGGTTTTTGAAAGAATAAATTAAAAGTGATTTATGTAAATATGCCAAGTTTGCTTTTTAAAAAAAAAAAAAAAGCCATAAGATACTCTTGCTTAAAATATTTTCAGACAGCATTTTCATGATTAAAAGGTATACTTGTATATGTCTCCATATAATACATATTAAATAGGGAAGGAATAGTTTTACTTTTTTGTTCATGTATTATTGTGACAAGACCATGGTTAAGATGCCTGTTGATAACCCCAAATAAGGATCGATTCCCGCTATCACTTGTGCATTCAGACAAAACTGATTTTTAATATTTATAATATAAATTAAAACTGGGTATTCAATTTTGTCACTATTGGCATTGAATAAGAAGCTCTTTTATGTGTGTGTTGGTCCTAATCACAGTGGGAATAACTACAAATTATCCCCCTCCCTAACGTTGTAGACAAAACATACAGATGCATGCAGGGATTTCTTCCTAACCAATAAAATGGACCATTTCTTGTTTTTATCCGCCATATGGAATCAGAATAGTATAATCACTCGTCTATCACCATTCTTACTTTGGTAACATTTTGCCTTATTACTGTTGCTTTGCCTACTTTTGTGTTACATATATATATATATATATATATATATATATATATTGTCAGCTTAATATTATTTTGTCATTTTTTCTTTTGTTATTTTTTATTTGAAACTTTGTCAATTCTGTTTGTTGGGCATTTTTGTCAGCTGCATTTAACCATGTCCAATTATGTTTTTTTTTTTTTTTTTTTAAATTCCTATGAAAGATTTATCTGTTAAAAATGTTCATTCTTGAAATAATCTTTATTTTAGACAATTTAAGTTTTTTTTGTTTGCCACTTTTGAAAAAGATGAATGAAATTAATTTAGGATAAAGAATTATGAATATTAGCAAGATCTGTGAAAATTCCATTGTAAATCATTCCAATTTCAACAGTGCAAATTCTCTGTAACTTTGAGAAGAGTCATCATTATTCCAAGAGTTATTCAGATGATCAAACATATTCTTTTGGTTATGTAATTCCTGGAATATTTCAGACAATTCTCCAGCCCTCTTCATGTATACTATCTGTGCGGAAAAAGATCTATCTTTCAAGCAGTGCAAAGCAAAATACAGTAGCAGATAAAATTAAAAATAGAAATACATGTGAAAATTTCATGATTTTCCGATTTGATTTTCTGATGAATCTTGATTTAATTATTGAATTAAGTTCATGATGAATTCTACAACAATATTCGTATAAATACCCCCTATCATATCGTTAAATATTTGAGTTTAACAACTTTAACAAAATATAGCAATTATAGTCAGAAATATGAATGCTGGTTCTATTTAAAGAAGTAATGGGGTACAAATGAAAAGATTTGAAATTGGCAGCATTTTCTATTTCACTGAAATAAATGCTAAACACTTCTATCTTCTTTCTTTCATTTTCTCACTGAAACCAAGTAGCATCTCTGATATGTCTTTTCCACTTTTCACAATCAAAGCAAGAAATTTGATACATACTATTCCACTTCTTCCCCTGTCTTCAGGAATTAGACGTACAAACAGACGCTATGAAACGTGAAAAACTCTCCTTTAGAATTCATGCACACACCAACACCACAAGATATAGTGATTTTCCAAGCATAGCTTAGATGTGGCACATGGCTGAAAGTATGGAGCACCCAGTGAGGATCAAACTCACTACTCAATCAAAATTGTTCTAGCAAGACAAGCTAGCTAACCATTACACCGCCTACAAGTGCCCAACACAAGATATAAATATTAGATCATTGCAAAAATTTGTGCCTGATTAGAAAATTAAAAACAAAATTTTACATACTGATAAAAAAACATTTATTAGTCAAGTACATTGTTTCCAATGTGTTTAACAACTGTCTCCCATCATTCTACAAGCTTGTTGAAGCAATTTTCATAGAAACCTGTTTTTTGTTGGAAGAATGTTGTGAGGTAGTTTTTGACTGATTGTACAGTTAAAGTTTTTGTCATTTAAATCGTTCTGTAGAGATGGGAACACATGAAAATCTGGAGGAACCAAGCCAGGAGAATACAGTGGGTGCTGGAGGGTTTCCCATTTCAATTCTCTTAAGCTTCTACAAGGTCTGTTTTGCAACAGGTGGTCTTGCATTGTGGAAAATGACACATTTTCGATTTCTTGAAATCTTTTTTCTTGAACTCAGGTCTGTTTAAAAGGCAGTTGAGATATCAATTTTCAATCTCTTCCATCAAAATCTTTAGTTTATTCTCCACGCTAGCAAGCAGAGTTTCTTCCTTCATAATGGAAAATCGCAAGAAGCATGGTTCACCATTTAGGTTAAAATCAGCCTGACCGCTTTTTGTCTGTCCAAAGAACTCGAGTACAATTCAGATAAAGTTTCTGAATGTTTTTGTCGTAGTCCCAATGCTTACTAGTTTCCAAAATTCATAGAACATCATATGGTGAAAGTGAAACTTTTCATCTTTAAAGCATTCATTTGTAGAAAAAAGTTAAAATTCAACAAAGTCTGGCTCACAACTGAATGATACAAGCTTCCAATCTAGAATACAACAGAAATTCTTGCCAAAACAAATGTCAGTGTCAAGTTGCAATCATTTAATATTAATGAAAATTGAGCACAAACTTTTACAGTGATATGATGCATTCGATATACCTAAAAAATGAAAACAGCATGGAATTCAAAATATTGAAACTTTCCCCAATGAAAGAAAATTCTGATGAAGCTATTAAAAGCAAAACATGTCCATTTCCCACTTTTCCTTATTTAATCAATTAATATATTTTAATAGAATATTAAGTATAGTTAATATATTTTAATAATATATCATAAATTTGGGTATATAATCCTTATATAAATAAGTTATAAATTAATGACATTTGGAAAAATGTTCATGAAAGTATGTTTCAGAAAGACATCCAACTATGCATTTCACCTATATGGCTTCATCAGATCAAAGATGAAAAAATTTATTTGCATGTGTATGCATTTGCATGTATTTAAAATAATGAAATCTTATATTTTTCCCAAGCTGGCATTGCTTGAGAAAAAGGAAATGAGTGACTTAAAAAATCATATTCTGTCAACAAATTCAGACATTAAATATTAATAATATATTATAATTTAATGTCTGAATTTGTTAAACTTGACTGAATACAACGCAAGACCAAACAGGCTACATCATTTGTTGGAAATGTTATGTTCCTCAAACCAATTCTAGGCAACTTTGGTCTAATGTTATAGTGAATTACCCCATCCTTCATGAAGTCCGTGAATGGATATAAATGATCATGTTAATATGTTTAGGTAGACCCAATTCCTGCAACATGGGACCTTATACCATCACCATCCGACATGGTGCCTTGTTGAAAACTAGGGTCCAGGGCCTTATGAACTGTGTCAACTCAACCTTCCTATTAGCCTGAAACAATTAGGAATCATGAATCATTGGACTGCACCATACATTGTCCATAGGCTAATTATCATTGTCATGAGCCCAGGTGAGGGTCTGTGCCTATTATGATGATGTTAACCAGTAGGCCCTCTGCTCCTATATCCAATGAAAGCTAAAGAAGGCTTAATTAATCTGATGGATATACATCTGGTACCTCCTACATTGAATGTGGAGGTGATTTGAACCAGTATCACTTGTCTGTTACTTCAGACAATTCTATCCAGATGCCTCTGGTCATGATCATTAACCCTAGAACACTAACTATCAATTAAAGTTACACCACTACTAACCATGGGTATATCATACCTGATTTTGAAAATATCAAAAAACAAAAAATATTAAACATAAATCTTTATTTGAAATATTTTACATGCAGGCACTTCAAACTTTGTACTTTGAGTTAACATTAATAGGAACTGAAAAACATATTATTTAGGTAAGAAAATCAGGTACTGAAA